ACTAGTTTACCATACAGATCTCAAAATACATGGAACATTGCCAGCTAACTCACTCACTAGTTTACCATACAGATCTCAAAATACAGCAACATTGCCAGCTAACTCACTCACTAGTTTACCATACAGATCTCAAAATACAGCAACATTGCCAGCTAACTCACTCACTAGTTTACCATACAGATCTCAAAATACAGCAACATTGCCAGCTAACTTACTGACTAGTTTACCATACGCATCTCAAAATACAGCAACATTGCCAGCTAACTCACTGACTAGTTTACCATATAGATCTCAAAATACAGCAACATTGCCACCTAACTTACCGTACTGACTGCCATACAAGTCTCAAGATAGGAATAAGTTTGGTGAAACTAACATCTAAATGATATGTCAAACTAAATTTGAAAATTGCATGCTTTCTTTTCTAAATTGTGGGCAGTCTTTTTGCACATTTTTATGGACCAAACCAGCCAAACTTAATTTTCCATTGTTTCCATGCAACTTGATTAAAATTAAATTTTCTTTTGTGTTCAAAACATTTTCATTAATCAATAAAAATATGATTTCAATAACTTACATAATAATTAGCAACTAAAACTAAACTAGGGATAAATATACAGTCTTATAGACACATTTAGCAACAACATAACGATGGTCTTTAAAAATGGTTTGATCCAACACATTTAAAGCACACGCCAAAACTGCCTTCAACATAGCTGGCAATGTACATGTAGCTGTTTTGGTGTATGAAATATTACGGCAGACAAAATGAAAGATATTGATAAATATTTGAGAAATCTTTGATCAAAGTCTGTGAGCAAAATCACATTGCACCACAGTTTGGGCAGAAAAAGTTGGTTTAAAACCCTTTAAACAAAATATCATTTGCCCAAACTATCAATTTATTCAATAATAAACAATTTTTCCATCTTTCTGTTTCCTAGGTAACAGTTTTTTCCCCCCTTCTGTGCATTGAGTTAATGCATTTTCTTCGGCAGAATCATGCGTAACAGTGTCATGAATTTCTTTGATTTCATGGCTTTGTGTCGTAATATCGGAATGGTTCAATTCTTGTTCAGGAAATGTGATATGGTTTTCTTCATTTTCCTCTTTAATGGCCTGTAACTGTTGACGACTCTTCAAGATCCGCATCACGTCTTCTGCATCTTCCTCAGGCACCTGCGACAAAGAAATAGAAAGTTGATAGTTTCACAAATAACTTTTGCACATATGCAGTAATAGTACTGGTAATTAAAAACAATAAAAAATACAAGAATCAAGAAAGAAAATTTGAAGTAATTTTGGAAATGGTATCAACCAATATTATTGAGCTCAAATCTCCTTTAGGAAGACTGATAGAAACTATTCATATTATAGATAGTTTGTTGTCTTGTGTTTGTCAAATTTTACAATTTAGGTAACTGATAAACATGCTGACAGTGTTGTTTTAAAATTTATTTACAGTTTAAGGACATTCATAAGACCAACATTTACAAAAGTCATATGACTACCTAATCAAATATTCACTGTTGCAATGATTTGGGAATTCAAATTTTAAAGCTAAGTCTTTTGGTTAACCATAACATTTCCAGGCTAACCAATGTGAGTTTTGCATAATGTTGACCTTTGGAACATATTCTTTAGTATAAATTGCATAGTTATGAAGAAAACAGACATACAAT